TGTGTGTGTGTGTGTGTGTGTGTGTGTGTGTGTGTGTGTGTGTGTGTGTGTGTGTGTGTGTTTACGATGACCATCATGCATGGCAGCTGATGGTAATAATGCTTCGCTATTGATACATGTCCGTTGATTTATTGTAGTAAAGAAGAGAGGGCCGCGTAAGGAGATACCGCCTCCACAAGAATTAGCCACTGACTTCACGAAGGTAAGCCATGCCAGTTATGGTATATGCGTTTTTGCGTGAGCAACCATGCGCCTTTTTTGATAATATGCAACAATAATACTGATGTAAATCAATTAACTTCTTACTGTACTTGAAACGTTTTCGTAGGTGTCTATGTGTAGTACGTTTCGTAAGAATGCGATTTGAAACATTATGAGACATAAAGCATCTAATTAATTTACGTAACCGCTCATCATCATTAAACGTAGCTACTATTCATTAATAATTCGCTATTTATTATAAATCGTTAGGATAGTTAGTAAACAAACATTCAACTTCGTCGTGTGCGTGTGTGTATACTACTAGACGGTAGTCGTACAGTAATTCTGTCTTTGATTACTTTTCACTTCACAATCATTAAAGATTCTTACAAGTAAGATCGTTGACTGATTCATTCTGATCATCTTATATATATCTAAATACTTGTCGTTTGATATTCGTAAAGATCTAAGAAAATATACATATAAATCATCTCTTTAAAAGGCATGCATGGTTGTTGTTTTAAAATAAATCTATATGACTTCTTGTTTGTGCAGAAGTTTTATGGCCCCAAGAAATTGATATTTGGAAATTGCCACGTCTGTGTTTGTAGTCATTAGCTATCATTCTCTGTGCTGGTCTCTAAGAGGAAACAATTCACCTAAAAATCATATCTCGACTTAAAACCACGAGTCACTACAGTAACGTAGTTATTATTCATTAGTAGTATAGGTAGAATACCCATTATGAAGACAACGAGAACTCTATATGAATTGTTTCTTATTTGATGGTCACCTGATTCATTGCGTGGAATGTATAGCAGCACTAAGCACTAACAATCAACGCGATAACGTTAAAGGTAAAACTAAAGAAATCTCAAACAAAAAAGCGAGATATTGGAAGCATGGAGTTAGAGGACGTGAGTCTAGTTGGCCACGATAAGGAGCTAGAAGTTGCTGAAGGATCGGTTGGAGGAACGGGCGACTCGCGATCAGCCGAGTTCCGTATGGCTGGTCGAGACGTCGGTGACCACGAGAGGGTATCCATCTGTTTGCCAGTTTACCGCCAAAGCTCGCTTTTCCTAATGCTTCTCGTGCACTTTGCGCATCTTTAGAACACGATCCTGATTTTCACCTTGCACATTTTTATTTCAGTTGCGTTCGCATGCTCACATTTTTGAAAGTTTTTGGGTTCATGGTTTGGGTGCAGCTGTGTTTATTTGAGTAGAATAGAATATATTTGAATTCCTATGATTCGTATATTGGGAACTTTGTTTTGCTTGTTATCGCACATTATTTTTGATCGTCGTTTTATCGGTGACTTTATATCGTGTAGGTTAGATTTTCTGTTTTTATTTAAATGATTTTAATGCTGTAACTGTGTGCGACGGTCAAAGCAGTCAAGGTGGATTTATTTTGAGCGTGCATGTGCATTCATTGTCATCCTTGATTGAAACCTTACCGCCAGTCTCCATCCTCGTCCACATATACATATAAAATTCATTTATTAATTGTTTATATATTTATATTCCTACGTGTAATTACATTATTATGTAGGAATATTATTCGCGTACGTGTAATCTATATTTTAACAGGTCATTTAAAACACATTTTTTAAATCGTGGGTAAAACGACACTTTTGTTTCGTTCAAAATTCATGCATTCCTATTGTGTTCACAGAGTCCTATATGTCTCGTAAAATATGTATATATATTATATACAGTATATATATCGTATATATCAGTCCTATAATCTTCATATATTTATTCAGATACTCCAGTCATGTACATATATATAAGTACGATTCAATTTCTTCTTTCTGTTCTAGTGATTACATTTTATTCTCTCATTCTATGTGAAAGTGTTTTCGTTTGTATGCCGCTTGCATTTTATCATATTTAAGCAACTACGCCTCACGAGCCCTAAAGTAAGGTCTGGCCTTCATTTATTTATTGTCAATTGAATAACATTATCAAATATTAGAATAATACTAAGTCTTCACATTTAAAGTCACTTTAGAACTAATCGATCGATTCGATGTAGAATGATATCAGAAGTAGATAATAGGAAATTCTGATTATATCCAGGACCAGCAGAAAGTAGATTACCAATGCAATTGCTAAATTTCCTAGACCTTATAAAATACAATCTTTAAGCGTTCTTTGAGGCGTAGCTGCTTTTAAGTGTGCATTTGATTTGCTCACCGTTTTGCTGATTTGCTTTGGAGGAGGAGGTGGATGATTCATATCTTGGTTGGCCGGAAGGCATGTGCGTTTGCTGCCATAAGATTCAGTACATGTGCATTTGTCGCAGGAGGAGCTTTGTACAGGTTATCCGACACATAATCGCATATATACACGTATAAGTGTAACCCAGCCGTCGACTAAGGCCCATAGCTCCTTCCTTGTCTGCCAGTCTCTAATCGAACGACGTGCAGATGCGCACTCGTGCAGCCTGTACCCCCCCGTCATTCTGCACGCGTCACTCGTCGTTAACGTTGCCATGGTCTCGCCCGTAGGTGTCCCTGTGAATAATTCACAACAGGGGGCCAGGCACACCCGCACCCCAAATTTTATTGTAATCAAATTCTATTAAATTTTTCCCTTCCCGATACAACGGGCGATAATTTCGTTGGGTTTGTTCCTGGGTACGTACTCCCACCCCTTCCACCCGGGAGCATTAACGCTGGCTCGTGTGTTACTAACGAGTAGGGTACAACGCCCGCTAGAACGCAGCGCGCTCAATGTCACTATAGTTAGCTCGTATACACGACATCCCACTCCGTTTGCTCGGCTGCGATCTGTGTATCTGTCGTGAGCGGTTGTTGTCGTTGTCGTCGTCGTCGGCGTCGTCGTCGTCGTCGTCGTCGTCGTCGTCGTCGTCGTCGTCGTCGTCGTCGTCGTTGTTGTTGTTGTTGTTGTTGTTGTTCTGTAAGCGGCTACGTCAAACGGACATGGTCGGCTCTGGGTCTATCACTGCTCGACACACCTGCCCTTTCTCGCGTGTCGACTAGTGATACACCCGGTATGCGCGTAGTCGGCCATCATATCCCTGTTCGTTCTTTTTTGTATTTTTTTGTCCGTCTCGTTTACTTTGTAATAATCATCCGACGTGTTGCTATCGGCATTGTCATCGTCACGCATGCGCGTTCCCGCACGGGATCATGGTCATTAATCATAACCGCGACCTAGTAGAGAGGGCCGTCTCATTACAGGCAGTAAATTATTGATGGTGACTTATACCTTAATTAATAATACAATGCTATACTAGTATATACGTTTAAAACAAACTACAGCGGATTAAACCCACCAACATGCTGTACAAATTCTGGGTTATCACACTGGTGTATTAGATTCTCGTTTTAGTTCGAATTTTAGTTCACATTTAGTTCGTTCGCTGCGATACGACAACAACGTTTTTTCAGGTCGGGCTATATGAATTGCACATGTTCTAGTAAAGAGTGTGAATTACTGAGATGAGAAGCCTTATAAATAGGCGTGACAGTGTAAGAATACGCGGGCAGACGTCAGAAGGGAGGGCCGGCCGTAGAGAACATGCCGGCAAATAGCAGAGTCACTGGAATGCACCGCGATAGATTTTTCTCTGTTTAGTGAACAGCTGAAATTTACCAGAATAGCAAACCTGCAAGAGATATGCTTCAGGTAGGTACATAAAATTCGGATATTACATAATTACAATTACAATAATTCCAAATTGAAATTGTTATATCTCGTATGAGAAATTTAATCGAAATTTGAATTAACATGGTTATGTATATGTATATATACATATATATAATCATAGTGTATTATGGGTATTATATGCTCAAAGAAAACATGGCACTTCGCACGATATATGTTCATGTAGGAGTACATAATTAACGACAGGATGATTACGTAAGTATAAGTGTTGATATATATCTAACAATTTCTCCTACTGTGCCGCAGATCAGGTAAACAACACGTTAACTTCCTATCGGTATTAGATAATAGAGCCGCTAGCAATCATACCCGAATTAACAGAGTGAATATATAGAAAAAAATAGGAGCGAAGGGAATGCTGCTACATCACGTTTCTGTTATGGCCCGGGCTCAGTTAAGCTAGACTAGCATTGCCTCGTGGCGAGTTTTCAACCCAATAAAAAGTTCGAATTGCTTGACCGGAAACCTGTTGGGGGCACGCGTTCGTTTACGGAAGCGAATTCATAAATGTAGACGTTCTGACGTGTTTGGGCAGCTGTCGACCGGAAAGGATACCACCGGCGAGCGTTTTTCGAATGTTTCGCATAGTTCGCGTCAGTTTTACTTTCTGGCGATGTTCGCTCGTTCGGGTAACCGAAGATACGACTGTAGACGCTCAATGTTTTCATTCGCAATGAGAGCATTCGCGCTTATCGCGCGAGCGGCGCTCGTCCCCATGGCGACGGGATATTTGTCAGACTTTTTCTAGCTGTGCCAGAAATGTCCGCCTGTCACCGGCAGCTGTCCGCCCAGCCCGATTCACGCTGGTTCTCGTCGCGGACAGAACTCAAGGCGTCTTCTCCACGCGCAGTTCTTCTCCGAAACATTCCGTCGTACGCGTTCTCGCACGCGCCCATGTCGATAGCGACGTAGATGTTAATGCGTAGATATATCGATGTTTAATCGAATCGAATCTACTTAAGAGCTTAATTCGCATTTCTCACGGTAAGCGTCTTTTCTTGGGAACATCTTCCGCGTGCGTGATAGCGGTAAATACACGAAGTAAAGGTATAGATCGTCTCAACGGCACCGACATCGACTGTCCTACTCAACGAAGATTCGACCAACCCATCACTGATGGCACTGAACAATGAAGCTACGGCGATAAACACGGCGATGTTAAATGGTGTTCACCTTCTCCATCGCGGGCCGCATTGAACACTTTCATCCTCAAATTCGACGCGTACGTGACGCGGGACGCAGATAAGTGAAAGGAACGCGGAAGTAAATAAGGTTGATGTTGTTGCGAGACGCCCGCGTCTGGAACGTGTGCCTCAGCAGGTGCCGAACGAAGAGGTCGGACACGGAAAGCGGGACTAATGCTGCCGGGAATGTGAAAGCTTGCGGATTAGCTCGGTGAAAGCAATAGGGTTTCTGCCGGATTTTGCCGTCGTGTCTTGGCAGAGTGCTGTGTGGTGACGTAGTAACGCGTCGGTTGGCAAGGTGCGTCCGGTCTCACTCAAAGCTCGCTCCGTCTTTGGCGACGAGTGGAGTCGCTTGACATCATTCACCGTCGTTCACTAAGTGAACGATGATGATCAGTCCGCCGGCCGTTGTTTTAAGCGTGTCAACTTGTGATAGCGGCCACTGCCTTCTAAAGTCGTGCTATGCCTTGCCTGCACGTGTTTAGCTTTAATCAGTGATTTGTGATGTTCATTGATGTTCACTGGTTGAAGAATGCCCCCAGCTGTTGTTCTGCCGCGTGCATCAACCGGTGCGGACGACTACCATCTTTAAAGGTTGTGTTCTGCGTGTCTTAAGTCTACGCATAGCTTCGTTGTATCAACGTCACTTCAGATTCCATTGGTCGTCTTCATGAATTTTGAACCGCACCATCGAAATATTCAGTGAGAGGATTGGGATAGCTCGATTCGATAACAGAGCGGGTTAGTCAACGATCATAATTAGAATTCGCATCGAATTGCGACGCGATTGCTTTTAAGTGTCCACACATCGAGTTCCACTTAAAGTTAAGTTCTGCATCCACCTAAAGACTTGCTAGCGACATTTAAAGGGACAATAGAAGGTCACTGAAGGTTGAACACCGCCTCAAAGGTCAGCGCTTCGAGAACGTCTCCATCCGAGCTTGTTTCCCTATATACTTCCGGAGCGAAAATGACGGAATTGGTCGAGTCCGGTGCGCCGACGAAGGCGCTCTATAGACCGCGGCGCATGTCGAGGCTCTGCAGTATTCACGAGATACTCGCGTCGGTCGAGAAGGAGGCCGAGCACCTTGACGAGTGGCCCGACGACTGTTGCATATGCTGTCACAAGCTGCTGTACCAGTGCGTGTGTCGCAGGAGGAGTATCATACAGGTGACATCGTTGGCTCGGTATCGTGGCGTCGTATCGGTCCGTTGACTTTGAATTGTCCAGGTGTATAGATGATTGTCTCAGAAGAGGTCGCTGAGAGAAAGAGAGACAAAACGCGAGAAGGAATGAGCGAGGGGAGGGAGGGGAAAAGGAGAAAGAGAGAGCGAGAGAGGTAGAGAGAGAACGAGCAAGGGGTGAAGAACGAACTAGCGAGAGAGAGAGAGAGAGAGAGTGAGCGCACGCGAGAGAGAGAGAGAGAGAGTGAGCGCACGAGAGAGAGAGAGAAAGAGAGAGAGAGTGAGCGCGCGCGCGAGAGAAAGAG